TAAGATACGGCTCCTGCAATCTCCGTAGCAATTTGCAATCTCATGTTCCAAGAAATTGGGAACTCAGCAGTCTCATTGTGAATGCTGTCGTACAAGGTCCCATTTGAAATGAATTCGGAAACTAGCAGAGGAACCTCAGTCTCCAAGCAACATCCCAATAGTTTGACCACATTTCGATGGCTGATTTGCGAAAGAATGACTACCTCATTGATGAATTGCTCTAATTGGCTTTCATCAACTACCTTCGATTTCTTGACTGCCACAATTCTTCCATCAACTAGCATACCTTTGTAGACTGTACCTTGACCTCCTCGGCCGAGAATTCTATTCTCGTTGAAGTGATCAGTGGCCGTCTCCAACTCACGTGACGTAAAAAGTATGGTTCTATCAACTAAAGATGGTTCGGTTTCTTCTTGTTGCTTTCGGAGTAAACCACCATTAATGCGTTTAAAAACCCTCTCTCTTCGTCTCCTTGCCTTTGTTTTCTTAATTACTTTGTATAAAGCAGAGATGAGTGCCATGAGAAAAAGTAACCCCATGCTTATGCTAACACCTGTAATTGATTAACATTGCAGCCTCAAACATTTAATACAAGTAGAGAAATAATGCATGTTATCACTACCTGGTTAAATTCTCTTATACTTTTATGCACTACTAAGTAACAAGGTTTTTATAGAGGGAAGTTTTAGAGAAGGATTTGGAGCGTATCTAAAGATGACTTTTAGAGAAGGAACTACATGACAAAAAGTATGATTCTCGTGTATATATATGACCGATTAAATACTAAAAAGGAAGTGATCTGAATCACCAAGTATCCTTCATATATATATATATATACATATATATATGTATATATATATATATGTATATATATATACTAGAAGAATGCTCGCGCAATGCAACGAGACACATCTTGCTTTTAATGTTTTGTTTTTTTTTCTCTATTGATATTACAACATGGTTTTATGTGGTTTTGATAAAGCGTTAATGCTTTTATATTTGAATAAAATATAAATTCGAATATCTCATAAAAATTTTAAAAAATATATTGATATTAGTATTAAATTAACTATTTAGGTGTTCACGTTTTTTATGTAATTTATTTAATTCAATTTTTTATTGTAATTTAATTTAGATTTAATAACAAAGTAATT